ACCCATCCAAGATCAGCAGCAGACCACCAAACTTCTCCAGGATGAATATTATATAAATATTTCATTGTCCATTGTAATGCTACAGCATAGCCACCAGTTGGACGAACAATTGCTTTTGGAGTACCTGTTGTACCTTCAAATACAATTTTCAATAGAAAGAAAAATTTTGTTTGTTTTTGTTTGATGAATAATTAATTTTATTTTTTATACCTGATGTATAAAGTAAATAAAGAGGATGATTAGATTCAACAGGTTCACAATCACTATAATCACGTGCACTATCCATAACATCTTTCCAATCTCGATCTCTTTCAGATATTAAATCTGCTGATTTTCCTTCTGATCGATTGAATATAATACATTTTAGTGCACTATTACTAATGCCACTTTTTTTAATAGCTTCATCAACAATTGTTTTATAATTAATTGTTCGTTGAGGTTCAAATCCAACATTAGCTTTACAAAAATAAAAAGAAAGAAAAAAAAGAATATTGAAAAATTTTGTTTGAAAATATTTTCTAAGTAAATCATATGTTTTTGTTTTTGTTCTTCTTTTTTCACTTACCAGAAATAAGAAGTTTAGGTTCTGAATGTTTAATTCTAACTGATAATTCATTAGCACTAAATCCTCCAAAAACAAGATTATGTATCGCACCAATACGAGCACAAGCTAACATTGCAACAATAGCTTCAGGTATCATTGGCATATAAATTAATACAACATCACCTTTTTTAACATTATATTTTTTATTTAAAACATTTGCTAATGTTTTAACTTGTTGTAAAAGTTCTTTATATGTTACATAAGCTACTTTACCAGTCATAGCAGAATCATGTATAATAGCTGTTTGATTACCATGTTTTGAAATATGTCGATCAAGACAATTATATGTCATATTAAGATGTCCATCGTGGAACCAAAGAGGTCTAATAAGATTATTTTTATCATAAACTTTTTTCCATCTTTTAAACCAAAAAATTTTTTGTGCTTGTTCACTCCAAAATTGTTCTGGATGTTCGATACTTAATCGATAAACATGTGCATAAGTTGAATTACGACGAACAAATACACGAAACATTCCTAAATCTACAAGAAAGAAGAAAAAAAAGCAATCAATTTAATTTACATAAAAAAACAGCTGCAACGAACTGAAATTAATATTACTAATTAACGTTTTTTTGAATCTACACTCAGGCCAATCATTCGTAGTCGTATACGGCCGCATATCGAACTATTACTACGAAAAACGATAACATTTACAAGACTCGTGAACGATACTTAACAGTGCATTACGACTGTTGCAAACAATGATCGTAAAAAATCGCAGGGTCTATTGTGGGTTTTCTTATCCTTCACACGCAGCCTCATATGATCGAAATACTATCTCTGTCAAGCGGGTGAATTAGGACTCGTGTACAGTTGTAATTGTAACGTTTACGTGTGTTTATGCTAATGTAAGCATCAATATACAGTCCAGTACTAGATATTCTTCCTTCTTTTCTTTTCATATTCTTGTCAGGCAGGGGCGTACCGAGCCACTTATAGCAGGGGGGGCGTAAATACTTCAGTCGAGAATTTTGCTACATATCAATAAATAGTACTAGGTAATATCAGCGGCTATTAATTGTAAATTTCAGAAGCAGGGGGGGCGTGACATATGTAAATTTCAGAAGCAGGGGGGGCGTTACGCCCCCCCAGTCGGTACGCCCCTGTTGTCAGGAAAACAAGAATCTGCTAAAAATTAAAAAATATCTAAGATTTTTTTGAATTTCCGATACGATTCTTTTTTCTTTTCGTTTAAGGCCTCCCCCCCCCCCCCCCCCCTCAAAAATTGATCTCAGCCCAGAAACGTTCAAATGGGCTGAAACTTGGAGCATATGTTGGGGCTGAAGTGAGGAGGCTGTGGTAAAATTTTCAGCTCGATATCCTGATGTTTGACAGAGATATGAACCAAACAAGGGTCAAAAATAGCTCATTTGGCAATCCATTTTTCTTTGTCCAGGCTCTTTCAATATATTTAATTTTTGTTCTTGTTTAAAAGAGCATCTCAGGATGCAGTGCAGTACAGAGTCCTTTTTTATGAAATTCTTACCTTTTTAGCGGGAAAAGGGGATCACAAGTTCAATGACTCAAAAGACGCGCCAAAAATGGGTGTGGGTGTCTGTATATATAATAAAAAACAAGTGTAATTTAAAAAAAGGACTCTGTATTGCACTGCATATTGACGTGCTCTTTCAAACAAAAAAAATTTAAATATATTGAATGAGCCTGGACAGGGGAAAATGGATTGCGCGGTTCAGCAAGCCTAAACTGAGAGAAAATGAAAAATATTTTTCGTTTTTTTTCGAAATAAGCATATTTTTCAAGAAGACGTTAACGGAAATCATCAAAAATCTTGTCCGAAACGGGGGTGTCGGCTTAAAAATCATATTGTTTCTGAAAGATCTGAAGACGAGCTATCTTTCCATGCAATTATCTCAACTTCGAAATTTTTGATGAAAACGGACATTTGTTGAGGGGGGAGAGGGAGGTCTTAAAAGATTCTTGTTTAATTTTCATAACAAGTGACACACGATGTCTATATATATATATCTCAACACATATATTGAAATAAATGCCTGCACGCCATTTAATTATTTCTACACAACGACAGCTGATTATTATTGTGCTCAATTTAATAAATAAAAAATCTTCTATTTAGATAACATATATTTGTTGCATGTCAATATCTGATAAATGTACCTGTTGCATAGAGCGAATGTATTTGTTGATCCATTAATGAAACGAATTGTAATGGAGTTTAGAACAAGGGGGAACAAGCGGACTTCTGTACTTCCGAAGTACAAAAGTACCGAAAAGTACCAAGAAGTACGAAGAAGTACCAAGAAGTACCAAGAAGTACGGAGAAGTACCAAGAAGTACCAAGAAGTACGAAGAAGTACCAAGAAGTACG